TCTCCGGAGTCGAACCCTGATCCTCCGTTATCCGTCACCACCACGGGAGTCGATTATGCTCCCGTCAAGTTGATAAAGTGGACGCTTGAAAGACACGCCGCCGGCACAAGGCCATGCGGTCAGCTTAGTTATTCTAAGTCAACAAGAAGCAGCCGAAGCCGCGTGGTTTTGTTCTAATAAATGCGCTTTTCCGAGAGGACAAAGCTCTGGTGCATGTATTAGCTCTAGCTTTTCCACAGTTATCCATTTAGATAATCAAGATCAAGTAAATCATGGCCATTGTAATGAGCCGTTCGCGGTTTCTCGTTAAAACGATTAAACTTATACATGCATGGCTTAATCTTTGAAATGAACACATCAGTTCAGGCAGGATCAACCAGATATCTTTTATTTAGGTAGTTAGCAGAGCTGGAATTACCCAGTCTGCGGGTAATTAAGCTGTCATTAATATTGATTATATTGATAATTTTAGAATAAAATCTCGAAAATAATCTGAAATTAAAAAATTAATGACAGCTTATTATATATTTAATTTCCTTTGCAAAAGATATAAATTATTTACAATTTATCAGCGGCACTTTCACAAAAGTTATCAATGGCAATTCCTGACAATTGTCTGGAGCCAAATAAAATTGCCTGAGGCAATTTTTTTTTTTTTTTAAAATTGCCTGAGGCAATTTTTAATCGGATCGTCACAGACTCATAAACCAAAAATGCCTGGTGAAATTTGATTGCCTGGGGGAACCCTATTACCCTACGACACTTGGTCAATTGCACTTTGGTCTACTTTGCCTGAGGCAATTTTTAATCGGATCGTCACAGACTCATAAACCAAAAATGCCTGGTGAAATTTGATTGCCTGGGGGAACCCTATTACCCTACGACACTTGGTCAATTGCACTTTGGTCTACTTTGCCTGAGGTCAATTGCACTTTGGTCTACTTTGCCTGAGGCAATTTTTAATCGGATCGTCACAGACTCATAAACCAAAAATGCCTGGTGAAATTTGATTGCCTGGGGGAACCCTATTACCCTACGACACTTGGTCAATTGCACTTTGGTCTACTTTGCCTGAGGCAATTTTTAATCGGATCGTCACAGACTCATAAACCAAAAATGCCTGGTGAAATTTGATTGCCTGGGGGAACCCTATTACCCTACGACACTTGGTCAATTGCACTTTGGTCTACTTTGCCTGAGGCAATTTTTAATCGGATCGTCACAGACTCATAAACCAAAAATGCCTGGTGAAATTTGATTGCCTGGGGGAACCCTATTACCCTACGACACTTGGTCAATTGCACTTTGGTCTACTTTGCCTGAGGCAATTTTTAATCGGATCGTCACAGACTCATAAACCAAAAATGCCTGGTGAAATTTGATTGCCTGGGGGAACCCTATTACCCTACGACACTTGGTCAATTGCACTTTGGTCTACTTTGCCTGAGGCAATTTTTAATCGGATCGTCACAGACTCATAAACCAAAAATGCCTGGTGAAATTTGATTGCCTGGGGGAACCCTATTACCCTACGACACTTGGTCAATTGCACTTTGGTCTACTTTGCCTGAGGCAATTTTTAATCGGATCGTCACAGACTCATAAACCAAAAATGCCTGGTGAAATTTGATTGCCTGGGTCTACTTTTGACAATGCACTCTGGCCTACGGCACTCCCCGCCTGACAATGTCAACGGCGCGAGTCAACCAACCACCGAGTGGCTAGTCTTAAAACAAAAATGAAGGTCCGTAGACACAACTCCCGTTTTACCGATTAAGTAAGGAATCGATGAAAGTAGTGGTATTTCACTGTTGTCTTACGACTCCCACTTATGCTACACCTCTCATGATTCTTCACAAAGTCAGACTAGAGTCAAGCTCAACAGGGTCTTCTTTCCCCGCTAAATTTGCCAAGCCCGTTCCCTTGGCTGTGGTTTCGCTAGATAGTAGATAGGGACAGTGGGAATCTCGTTGATCCATTCGTGCGCGTCGGTAGTTAGCCGACGAGGCATTTGGCTACCTTAAGAGAGTCATAGTTACTCCCGCCGTTTACCCGCGCTTAATCAAGTTTCCTTGGCTTAACATTCAGAGCACTGGGCAGAAATCAGACACGGTCAACGTCCTGCAAAGACCATCCGTCTCCTCTGTTTTAATTAGACAGTCGGATTCCCGGAGTTCGTGCCAGTTCTAAACTGGTTGTTCAGCGCCAATCGAAGTACTATATCTTGCGAAATAGTACGCAGCTGAAGCTCTCCACAAGCAGTCCTCACTACTAGTCCACAAGCGCCGTCCCGAAGGGAAGATCAAGCAGCCACGAGCAAAGTCCACCTGTTTCACACAACAGCCCGACTGACCCAACCTTTAGAGCTAATTCTTTTCCCGAAGTTACGAATCTAATTTGCCGACTTCCCTTACCTACATTATTCTATCGACTAGAGGCTGTTCACCTTGGAGACCTGCTGCGGATATGGGTACGATCAGGCTGGAGATTTTAAATTGCCTCCCTCGTATTTTCACGGCTCATGTGGAGCACACGGGACACAACAGGAACCGCTGCGCTTTACGAGACCAGCATCCCTATCTCAGGCTGAGCCACTTCCAGGGACATGATCTCTAAACCAGAAAAGAGAACTCTGGCCCGGACTCCACACGAGGTCTACGAGTTCGTTTGCGTCACCGCGCAAAGTAATCCTTGCGGATCACCATCTCCCATGCCTGGTGTGGGAATATTAACCCACTTCCCTTTCGGCAACCGAGTAGACAATATACCGTTAAGTATCTCATCTCCCCGCAGTGTCTAGACGGCTTTAGCCGGTGCCTTAGGATCGACTGACCCACATTCAACTACTGTTCACGTGGAACCCTTCTCCACTTCAGTCTTCAAGGATCTCACTTGAATATTTGCTACTACCACCAAGATCTGCACTAGTGGAAGCTCCAGCTGGGTGCACACCCAAAGCCTTCATTGCAACCACTACGACCCTCTTACACGTCATTGCAAGACTTTTCACGGAAAATACAAGCATATGACGGCAGAGTATAGGTGGCCCGCTCCAGCGCCATCCATTTTCAGGGCTAGTTGATTCGGCAGGTGAGTTGTTACACACTCCTTAGCGGATTCCGACTTCCATGGCCACCGTCCTGCTGTCTGTATCAACCAACACCTTTTATGGTGTCTAATGAGCGGGCACTTTGGCACCTCAACTCCGCGTTTGGTTCATCCCACATCGCCAGTTCTGCTTACCAAAAATGGCCCACTTGGAACTCGTATTCAACGCCAAAGTTCAAAATCAAGCAACTTTGACATCATACCCATTTAGAGTTTGAGAATAGGTTAAGAACATTTCGTTCCCAAGTCCTCTAATCATTCGCTTTACCGAGTATAACTACTAATGAGCTCCAGCTATCCTGGGGGAAACTTCAGAGGGAACCAGCTACTAGATGGTTCGATTAGTCTTTCGCCCCTATACCCAAGTCAGACGATCGATTTGCACGTCAGAACCGCTTCGGACTTCCACCAGAGTTTCCTCTGGCTTCGTCCTGCTCAGGAATAGTTCACCATCTTTCGGGTCTCACCGCGTACGCTCTTCCTCCACCCTACTGTAAACAGTTAGAATGGGGCCATGCTGCCCTTTTTTACAAGATCGCACGTCAGACTCTAAAGAGCCATTTACTTTCATTTCGCTTTTAGGTTTTTAACACCCAAAAACTTGCGCACACGATAAACTCCTTGGTCCGTGTTTCAAGACGGGTCGGATAGATGACCGGCTTTTACATGGGGAGCGAGTACGAGAGCATTAACTGGACCGATCTAAATGAAAAGCACGTGTCGCATGCGACCGTAACTTACAATCAGATCGAACCAATAAATGCCCGTAAACCATACTCAAATGTCCAAGACAAAAGATGCTAACGCTGTTTGGGTACCAGCAAGCTGGCCTCAAAACGGCGGTTACAAATCTGCCTCAAACATCCCCAAGCACCAAACAAGCAAATGCATCACAGAAAATTATGATGCTTCTTTCTGTCCCAATCTGGAGCTCAGAGATCACAACATAAAAATAATGTAAATGAATACTTGAAAGATACGCCGACTCTATCCGTTTCCACCTCTCCGGTTTCACGTCCTCTTTAACTCTCTCTTCAAAGTGCTTTGCAACTTTCCTTCACAGTACTTGTTTGCTATCGGTCTCGTGGCAATATTGAGTCTTAGATGAAGTTTACCACCGACTTTGGGCTGCGATCCCAAACAACCCGACTCTAAAGCACGTAAATATCGATCAATTATCTCAATGTACAGGACTTGCACCTTCTGTGGAACCTTTGTCAAGGGGACTTATTTGAGACAAAAGATTAAAAATTACGGCTTATACGCTACACCTCATAATGCCTTAGGCAAAATGATTTAGCGATGGACATTTCCCTATTCACTCGCCGTTACTGGGGGAATCCTGTTTAGTTTCTTTTCCTCCGCTTACTGATATGCTTAAGTTCAGCGGGTGCTCTCGACTGAGTTCAGGTCAAAAAATTAATATTGTTGATGATACATGCGAACAATTAAACATATCTAACAATCAATTTAAAACATAAAGAAGCCACAAAAGCAATTATACAATAAAGCTTTCGCTTTGAAAGAAAATGACCCTGAACCAGACATAGCAAAGGGTTTGACCCCTATGCGGCAATATGCGTTCAAAACTTTTATGCTCAAGGCTGCTGCAGTTCGCAAAACTTATCGCAGTTTGCTGCGTTCTTCATCGATCCACGAGCCTAGTGATCCACCGGAAAGGCTAGGAATTTTGTTTTTTTTTAAAATATAGAGAAAAAAAGAGTGCTGGCGTCCTCACTTAAGAGGCTCATTAAGTCTTAAACTCATTATAGTCCTAACATGTCACCACATATACAGCCACGGACGTTCACAACTGTATCAGCAACACCTAGACACCAGCGACAGCCGTTACACAACAATTATTTCATTGCGATTCAAAATTGAACATCACATAAAGTAATGATCCAGCAGCAGGTTCACCTACAGCTACCTTGTTACGACTTTTGCCCGGTTCAAGCCACTGCGATTAAATTGGTTTCCATCAAAATAATTTAGATAAATTAAATCAACGGTCCCCAAATTTCTCGAAATGGCTCAGTCCCGGGCAGCGACGGGCGGTGTGTACAAAGGGCAGGGACGTAATCAACGCGAGCTGATGACTCGCACTTACTTGGAATTCCTCGTTCACGGAAAATAATTGCAATTTCCGATCCCAATCACGGCAAATTTTCAATGGTTTACCCGCCCCTTTCAGGGTAGGACAAGCACGTTGATTTTGCCAGTGTAGCGCGCGTGCAGCCCCGGACATCTAAGGGCATCACAGACCTGTTATTGCTCAATTTCTTCCGGCTGAACGCCGCAAATCCCTCTAAGAAGCTGTATACACAAAGAGTATGTATCAGCTATTTAGTAGGTTAGAGTCTCGCTCGTTATCGGAATAAACCAGACAAATCACTCCACGAACTAAGAACGGCCATGCACCACCATCCACTGAATCATGAAAAAGCTATCAATCTGTCAATCCTCACAGTGTCCGGGCCGGGTGAGTTTCCCCGTGTTGAGTCAAATTAAGCCGCAGGCTCCACTCCTGGTGGTGCCCTTCCGTCAATTCCTTTAAGTTTCAGCTTTGCAACCATACTTCCCCCGGAACCGGAAGACTTTCGTTTCCGGGAAGCTCCCCACCAAGGCAATATAATTTCCATCAGCGGATCGCTAGTTGGCATCGTTTACGGTCAGAACTAGGGCGGTATCTGATCGCCTTCGAACCTCTGACTTTCGTTCTTGATTAATGAAGACATTCTTGGCAAATGCTTTCGCTGTAGTTTGTCTGGCCACGGTCCAAGAATTTCACCTCTCACGGGGCCATACAAATGCCCCCGTTTGTCTCTGTTAACCATTATCTCAGTCCGTAAAACCAATAAAACTGAACCGAAATCGTTTTCTATTATTCCATGCACGATCATTCAAGCGAAAACGCCTGTTTGAAGCACTCTGATTTGTTCAAAGTAAACTTGCAATGACTGTTAAGAATCCTGTTAAGGACTCAAAACCGAACATTACGATAAATCGATAACACCCAGAAACACCCGAAGGGTTCCAAGGTACCGATACGAATCCAACTACGAGCTTTTTAACCGCAGCAATAATTCTATGTATTACCAGAGCTGGAATTATAGCGGCTGCTGGCACCAGACTTGCCCTCTGCTTGATACTCGTTAAAAGGTTTAAATTGTACCCATTCCGATGACCGGCCTCAAAGAGAAAAGTCTCGTTATTTCTCGTCACTACCTCCTCGAGCCGAGAGTGGGTAATTTGCGCGCCTGCTGCCATCCTTAGACGTAGTGGCCATTTCTCAGGCCCCTTCTCCGGAGTCGAACCCTGATCCTCCGTTATCCGTCACCACCACGGGAGTCGATTATGCTCCCGTCAAGTTGATAAAGTAAACGCTTGAAAGACACGCCGCCGGCACAAGGCCATGCGGTCAGCTTAGTTATTCTGAGTCAACAAGAAGCAGCCGAAGCCGCGTGGTTTTGTTCTAATAAATGCGCTTTTCCGTGAGGACAAAGCTTTGGTGCATGTATTAGCTCTAGCTTTTCCACAGTTATCCATTTAGATAATCAAGATCAAGTAAATCATGGCCATTGTAATGAGCCGTTCGCGGTTTCTCGTTAAAACGATTAAACTTATACATGCATGGCTTAATCTTTGAAATGAACACATCAGTTCAGGCAGGATCAACCAGATATCTTT